TAAAGCCATATTATAACATCGACTGAGATAAAGAATAAAATGAAATATTAAAAACACGATGTATCTCGCTGCATTGCGCGAGTACGTTTCTAGTAATCTTAAAATAAAACTTAATTTTCTTCTAAAACATCAAATAGGTCTCTTTTTTACATTTTATTCATTCTTTAAATTTCATTTATTGTATTTTATGTTTCTTAAACTTTCATTTCATTGTACTCAAAATATTATTTTTATACGGTTTCTATATTTTTATTAATTTATGTAATTTATTATACATTAATAATAAAAAATAATGTAGAAAAAAGATAAAAATAAAAATAGAAAACTACATAAACTTTTTATTTAGTGTCATTTTAATTGTTTTTGACGAAAAATTCAAATGATATATTTTGTTATAGAAAACAAATATTCTATTATAATTTAATAAATTACATAAATTAATTAAAATAAACAACTCATCAAGGGTAAATTGATTATTTTACTTGTTCTGTTTTGTCCAGTTTTATCTTACCAAACGTTGAACAGTTGTCCTATTCTGTCCTGTCTTCACACCAAACACACCCTAAGTGTCCCAAAAAACTTGTTAGTATGCCAAAAACAATTCCATAAACTTATGGCAGTGTATTTAGATAATATGCTTTATTTTTTAATTCTATAAATTAGATTTTATAAAGTAATATATTAGACCATCTTTAACCAAACACAAAATACAAAAAAATAGAGGTGTTTTAGGTTGATACATTCATATTTTTGGTCTATTCTTTTAACTTAAAATGTAATTTACTCTTAACTATCTATACTATATTATAAAGCATTTGGCTAAAACTCTTAAAACTCTTAAACTCTTAAAAACTCTTAAACCCGTTCATCTCTATCCAATTTCATCTCATATCTAAATTCGTGTAACTAACTGCAGATAAACACAATCAAATACAAGATAAACATCTCATTTTAAATATAAAAAATCTAAAATATAATTAAGATAATCATTGAGTTCTAACAAAATACTTAATTATTATATTTATAAAATGTTATATTATTAAACCAAAAATAAATTATTTCATTATTAAACTTAAATTAAATTATAATAAAAAAAATAAATTAAAGAAATTACATAAAAAATGAAAACTTTTTTTTTGACCGGCAACAAAGACGAAATAGCATAGAAATTAGCAAGACGCTAGCAAAACAGAGTACAGTTAAAAAACAAGACATGAGAGAATTTCACCACTCTATCCAACTATTCGCCATAACATCTTTCGGCACCCTGTTTTTAAACCAGAAAAAAGAATACGCCTGAAGCGGAAAAAAAATGAATACTTTTAAATAGTTGATTTGACATTAACATAGATATATATTTTTTTAAATTTTTATGATATCTTCAAATTTATATTTTATTCAAAAATAAAATCATTATTGTTTTTTTTTAAAACACATAATCTAT